TTTTTTTTGCAGTACTGGGGTTGAACTTAGGACCTTGTGCTTGCGAGGCAGGTGAGGTGCAGTGCCACTCTGTTTCATTGGAGTGGTGAGACCATTAACATTGATGGTTATAACTGATGTGTATTGTCTTTTTTTTTTTGATGTGTATTGTCTTATCTCTTTTGAGTTATTTTCCTGATGTTGGCTTCCTTCTTTTTCTGTTTAATTTCTTCCCTTGCCTGGTGGATTCATTCTGTTGGGCTTCATGGAGTTGTATTCCTTATTGTCTCTTTCTAGAATATCCTTCAGAATACTTTGAAGTGCTGATTAGATGGCCATGAATTTCTTCAGGTGTTCTTTGTCATAGAAGTATCTTATTTGTCCATCAATTTTGAAGGATAGTTTTGCAGGGTACATCAATCTGGGTTGGAGCTTGTTTTCTTTTAGGGCTTGAAATAGTTCCCTCCAAGCTCTCCTTGACTTAAGAGTTTGTCTTGAGAAGTCTGCCATGATTCTCATGGGCTTTCCTTTATAGGTGATGTGTTTCTTTTCTCTAGTAGCTTTTAATATTCTGTCCTTGTGTTAAATTTCTGGAATCTTGACTATTATATGCCTTGGGGAAGACTTTTTTTGATCATGGCTATTTGGAGTCCTATATGCCTCACTTATCTGTATGTCAAATTCTTTTTCTCTGTTTGGGAAGTTTTCTGCCATTACTTCTGAGAACAGGATTTTTTATGTCATTTGCACTATCTCCTACTTTTTCATTGTCTCCAATCATATTATGTTATTCGTAGAGCTGGGGATTTAGTTCAGTGGTGCCACCACCTGCCTTGCAAGTACAAGGTCCTGAGTTTGATCCCCAGTATCAAAGTATATATATTATGTTCTTTTTCTTTGCATCATCTAGCAGCTGCTGGATTGATTTCTCTTGGTCCCTTGCTGTTTTGGGGGGGAGGGTACTGGGGATCGAACTCAGGATGTTGAGCTTGTGAGGCAGGTGGTGGCACCACTGAGCTAAATCCCTGGTCCCAGTCCTTTGCT